CGGGGGCAGCCCAAGTGTCGCGCCCTCTGGCCGCGCTCCTTGATCCAATTACCCCGCCCCCGTGACCGCCTCCGTCCCCCTCCCCCTCACTCGGCCACCGCCGCCGCCGCCGCCGTCTCAGATGACGCCGAACAACTCGTCGCCCAGCGATCCAAGCACTCCGCCCGCACGAGTGGCGTTGATGGCTTCAGCGCACGATTGTCAGGCTTAAAAGCGATTTACGTTACGAAGGGCTCTTGAAAACACTTTCAGGTACCAGTTTTCACATTCTTAGTTGTATCTTCAGATCAGATGATTAAAACAAAATGACAGTAGTTTATTGTATTTGATTTGCCAGTGTTTCTTGACTTTCGAAATATGGATGTTGTTTTTCTTGAGTTTAAGTAAGTTATAGAATAAATACTTCTTCGTTATTGTTTGTTGGTTGCCGACGTGTTGGCCATTATTGGGCCTTTATCAGGGCTAGAATTATTTTACAAGGAAGTTACACAGGTTTGTTGTCTTCTCCCAAACCTAACATAGGTTAAGGTTGTTTTATCGATGGCGTGTCGACTACACGAATAACTTCTGGTTAAAATTTTAGATTCCGTGACACATATGGACTTCTTCTCGAAATGAAACTTGTTTTCGAAATTAGAAGCAATGTAAGCTAGCCTACAATACTCAAGGGACAATTTGTAGCAATTCTGAGATCATTTGACCATAAATAGTCACGTATTTTTAGCATAAAGGGGAAGAAGTTCACAAGATCTGCAATAGGGTAAAATCAACAATGGCCAAAGACTTAGTGGTGGCCACTTCAATCCAACATTTGAAAAATAATAATTGGATACTTCCCATTTGATTCAAACTTGCAGAACATGACTCAAATACTTTCTAATGGTTGGGGGTAGACTGAAGATTTTAATTTATTTCTTATTATACTACGATAATAATCTGAGCTGTCGCGACTAGTGTTTTTATTTTACCGATCTTTGCTCAATCGACATCAAAAAATAAAAAAAAATTGTGGTGCTACAACAACACATTATTTCTCGTATTGTTGAATTGTTGAATTTTTTTAAAATTCAGAATCAAAATTCAGAAAATAAAGGCTACGCTATTTTTTAGGCGTTCTTTACTTTATACGTGAAAAAATTTCAGACAAAATTTGGAGACGTTTCTGAGAAAATAATTGTTTAAAAATGTATTGCATTTCTCGTAAAAGTACGCAAGAACTATTCATATTTTACGCGGAAACATGTACCTGACCTTATTTAAAGATCTAACAAATAACAGATTTTATTAAAGAAAAACAAAAAGAACGGCAAAAACAGTTTGAACTTTTACAATTCTCGAACCATCCAGAAATTTCAACGAAAA